CCCGCCCCTTCAGGGTGCTGAGCTTGGCATCAAGGGAGAGGGTGCGGGGGCGGCCCCAGGGGCGGCGGGTGGGGGGGCTGGGGCTGCACGCCCGGCCGGAGCGGGGGGTGTGCATGGGGGGCCCCTCAAAGAGGGAGAGCCACGGGGGGGTCCCCGGCACCCGGCCCCCTGCCCGCTGTGTCAGGATGTCTGTCACCGCCTCGATGTCGTCGGCTGGATCAATAGCTGTGGGGAAGAGCGGGGGTCAGCCAGACCCCCCGGACCCCTACCCTGCTCCTCCACCGTGGGGATGGGACCAGACATGGCTGGGACAGGCTCCATGGCCAAGACAGCCGAGATGTGCCCCACAGCTGGGGTGGCTGGGACGTGACCCACAGCCTAGGATGTGCCACACAGCCGGGATGTGCCCCACGGCTGGGGTGGCTGGGACATGACCCACAGCCTAGGACGTGCCACACAGCTGGGATGTGCCCCACGGCTGGGGTGGCTGGGACATGACCCACAGCCTAGGACATGCCACACAGCCGGGATGTGCCCCATGGCTGGGGTGTGCACCGGAGCCAGGGCAAGTGGGACACGTCCCGTGGCTGGGACAGCCAGGATGTGCCCCAGAGCCAGGACATGCACCAGAGCCAGAGCAGCCGGGATGTGCCCCGTGGCCAAGGTGGCAGGGACGTGCCCCAGAGCCAGGACGAGCCCCAGAGCCAGGGCAGCTGGGACATGTCCTGTGGCTGGGGTTCCTGGGATGTGCCCCGGAGCCCAGGGCAGCCGAGGTGTGCCCCACGGCCGGGCCATGCCCACAGCTGCCCCAATGGCATCATGGGCCGTGGGGCGGTGGGCTCACCCCGCCAGCCCCCTGCCCGTCACCTGTCACTGTAATAGGAGGAGAGCAGAGCCCGGATCTCCTCTGAGACGGCGTTATCCTGCAGCAGGAGCCCTTCGCAGGCGGAGGGGGCCACGGCCGGGCCAGGCAGGGCTGCAGCCGCCAGGGAGGGGAGAAAAGGAGAGAGAGACAGGGGAGGGGACAGAGAGGAGCAGGAGGGAACAGAGAAAGGCAGGCGAAGGGAGAGAAAGGGGTGGAGAGGACAGGAGGAGGAAAGAGAAGGGGCAGAAGGGCAGTGGAGAGAACAGCAGCATTAGGGAGGTGCCAGGAGGGCAGAGACAGGGCCGCCCAGCGGCAAGACAGCAGAGAGCAGAGAGGAGGGAGACAGAGGCAGAGCCCCCCCCGGCCGCCCCCCTGGCCCCACTGCTCACCCATCTCGTGGTAGAGAGAGCCCTGCCGGGGCAGCATGGCGGCCGGCCGGCGCGGCGGTGGCACCTCGATCCTCATCAGCTCATCACAGCACTGCTTCCACTGGCCTGGGGGGACAGGGCGGTCAGAGCTGCCAGGATGGGGTCCCACTGGGATGGGGGTCATGCTGGGATGGGGATCCCGCTGGGATGGGGATCCCACTGGGGTGAGGTCCTGTGGGGACAGGGTCCTGCTGGGATGAGGTCTTTCTGGGATGGGGTCCTGCCGGGATGGGGATCCCACTGGGGTGAGGTCCTGCTGGGACAGGGTCCTGCTGGGACGGGGGTCCCACCACACTGCAGATTCTGCCGGGCTGGGGTCTTGCCAGGATGGGGATCCCACTGGGCTGGGGTCCCAAAGAGCTGGGGGTCCCACCACACTGGGGAGCACCACCAGGCTGCCAGGCTGGGGTCCTACAGGTATGGGGTCCCACCAGGGATGGGTATCCCGCCACGTTGTCCCCGTCCATGCTCACTCATGTCGTAGAAGTGCTGCCAGAAGGCCTCCATCCATCGCTGCGCCTCAGCCCGGCTCTCGGCCAGCAGCGTGTGGGTCACCTCCTCGCCACCGTACCGGTTGGTGACGGCCATGCCGTGGGGCTGCCCGCGCCCCTCCCGCTCTGCCGCGCGGATGCGGGTCTCCTGCAGCGGCGGCAGCAGCCCTCAGCCCCTGCAGCCCCCTGCAGCCCCCCGCAGCCCAGTCGACCCCCATCGCCCCCAATGCCCCCAATCTTGGCAGTACCTTGTTGACGGCGATGGTGAGGGCCGGCTCCAGCCCGGCCTCGGCCTCGCTGGGGTCGCGGTAGCAGAGGAGGTCGGTGCCGCGCAGGACGCAGTACAGACGGGTCCCGCTCTGTGCCTCAGCCCCCGGCTGCTGCCCGCGGAGCCAGCACCATCAGTGTGGTGGGCATCAGCAAGGACCATGCCATCCTTGCCCCCCCAGGGTCATCCCCAGCCCCACCGGGACCCCCAGCCCCACTGCACCCTGTCCCTGCCCAGTGTAGGGAGGACAGGGGCAGCCACCTTCCCAGCACAGGGTTCCCCTGGTCTCCATCCCCACCGCGGTCCAGAGCCTGCTGGCAGGGACTGCCAAGACCCAGCAGGCTCATGCCACCACCCATCCCCATCCCTGTCCTTGTCCCCATCACCAACCCACCCCATCCCCATCTCTGTCCCTGTCCTCATCCCCAACCCATCCCTGTCCATGTCTCCATCCCCATCCCATCCCATCCCAATCCCCATCCCATGCTCACCTGCAGCCGGAGGAAGCCACTCGTCACCGGGGCGGCCATGCAGCGGGGCTGGGCAGCCAGGCGGCAGCACATGCTGCCATAGAGGGGCAGCCAGAAGGAGCTCTCCTCTGAGGGGACACATTTGCCTGGGGTGCCTGGGCACAGACCCCCACCCGCACCCCCCTCCCCGCTCCCTGCCCTGCTGGGACCCCAGACCCATCTCCCCACCAACCCCAACAGGGCTGCCTCACCCCCTGCTGTGCCAAGCCCAGAGACCCCTCTCCCCACCCCACTGGGCCCCCAGACTCCTCTCCCCTCCAAACCAGCTGGGATCCCTAGACCCCTCTCCCTCACCCTCCTAGCCCCTTTCTCCTCACCCCATTAAGTCGCCTAGATCTCTCCCCTCCTGCTAGCCCCCCAACTCCCTTCTCCCCCAGCCCTGTCAGGACCCTGTGCCTTTCTCTCCCCGCTCCATCCCAGCCATCCCAGACCCCTCTCCCCAGTCCCCCCAGACACATCTTGCCCCTGGACCAGCCAAGACCCCAGATCCACCTGTCCTCCACCCCAGACCTCTCTCTTCCCACCCTACCAGGCCCCCAGCCCCATCAGCCATGCCATGCCGTGCTGTGCCGTGCCATCTCCTGTGCTCACCGTTGCTGGTGATGGCGAGGTCGTGGGTGCGGAAGCCATCCTGCACCTCAGCCAAGGAGAGGACGGCATGTGCCAGCAGGTGGAACTTGGGGCCCCTGGGGAGACGGCGGGTGAGGGAAGTGGGGGACAACAGGGACGTGGTGGGGACAAGGGTGGGATTGGGTACTCACGGCACATTGGGGGCTGGCAGGAGGAGGGGGCTGGTGCCCCCGTTACCCGGGGGGCTGCCGGGAGCCCCGTCCATGGCGGCGCGCACCCGTTTGCCGGAGGAGCGTCCCAGGGAGGTGCTGAGGCGGGTGGCCAGCTTCCTGGGGGTGCTGCCCTGTGTCGACCCCCCCTCCAGCCCCGCGCTGTACAGCTCCACCTTCAACTCGAAGTCGGGACCAGCCTCCGAGCTGGGGGGGTACACAAGGTGGCCATGATCGGGGGGCATCCTGCCCCAGGACCCTCTGTGCCACCCCACAGCCATAGGGCCCCCCCAGAGGGAGGCAGGGGAGGGCAGGGGTCCCCCCGTGGTGGTTGCACACACTCACAAGAGGACGGCACTCTCGAAGCAGATGTCAGTGAGGGTCCGGTCCACCAGCACCATGGGGGTGTCGTGGATCTCCGCTCCCAGCTGCAGCAGGCAGAAGACGGCGCAGCGGTGCAGCTCTGTGGGGATGGGGAGGGGGTGTCAGGCGGGTGGGGGGCAGAAGCACAGCTCCCCCCCCCCTCCCCGCATCCCCCACTCACCTCCCTTGTTCCTAAAGTACTCCGTGTCCTTCCACATCAGCGGGATGCGCAGGTCTGGGTGTGAGAGGGGGGAAGGTGGGTGGTGAGGGGGGCTGAGCACCCCCCTGAAACAGCCCCACGGGCTTCCTGCACCCAGGGACCTCCCACCAGCCCCCCCCCCCAACTATGGCAGGGTGTGCAGATGGCTGTGCTCCCCCCTTGGTGGGGGGGCAATCCTGGTGGGACCCCTGTACCTGAGATACAGACAGTTCCCCGGCAGGGCAGGCGCTCGTCCGTGGGGCCGGCATCCGAGGGGCTGTGGAGGCGGGTGGAAGAGGGGAATGGGGGGCTGTGACAGCTGCCCCACCATCTTCCCCCCCTGGGCCCCCCCCTGCCTCCCCCCCCACCCCCGGCGGGCCCACGCCTCCTTCCTGCGCTGCAGCTCGGCCATGTAAGCCAGGACGCGGCTGTTGCAGACCAGGAGGCTCTTGGCGGCCTCCAGCGCCTGCTCCCGCCGGCTGCAGGCGGCCAGCAGCTTGCAGGCCCCCTCCCGCAGCCGCAGCTCCCGCTCCATCTTCCGCTGGATCTCCGTGTCCTGCGGGGAAAAGTAGGGGGGGGGACCGGGACACAGGGGTGGGGACTGTCCCTTCCCTGCCTTCGGTGTCTCCAGTCCCAGACTTGGGGCTGCCTGGAGGGGGCCACAGAGTGACCCGGCCACCCCCAGATGTGCACCCCTTGGGGGGGGTCCCAGCTGTGCAGAATTCAGGGGGTCCCAGCTATGCGTTCCTGGGGGGGTCCCAGCCACAAATATGGGGGGGGGGGGCCGTAGCCATACACCCACTGGGTCAGCACAACTCGGGGTGCCCAGCCCACGTCCGAGTGCAGAGGGGGGACACCACCCCACACAGCAGGGGCCAGTCCCCACGGCGACCTCTGTCACCCCCCCACCCCAAACCAGCTTTTGCTTCAGCCCCCAAATAAACACCCTGTGTCCCCCCCACCAGGACCATGCAGCTGCCGGCTCCTCCCGGACCCCCCTCAGCCACCTGCCGGGGTCCGGGATCTTGTGCGCCCCACAGATACACCAGGCATCCCACTAATGTGCCATGTACCCCACAAGGGAACCACACACCCCACAGATTAGCCATGCATCCCCCACATGTGTCACGCGCCCCACAGATACATGATGCGTCCCATGGGGCAACCACACACCCCACAGTGGAGCCATGCACCCCACAGATACAGCTGGCACCCCACGGATGTGCTATGCACCCCCTGGATACATCATGTACCCCACAGGGGAGTCACATACCCCACAGATACTCCATGTACCCCATGGAGATGCCACACACCCCACAGATACATCAAGCATGCCACAAATGTGCCACGCACCCCACAAATACATCATGTACCCCACAGGGGAGCTATGCTCCCCACGGACACATCATATACCCCACAGGGGAACAGCACACCCCACAAATACAGCATGTACCCCACAGATGTGCCACGCGCCCCACCCCAAAGATTTGCCATGCATCCCCCAGATGTGCCATGTACCCCACAGATACTTAAAGTGTCCCATGGGGCAACCACACATATCATGGATAAACCATGCACCCCACAGATATATCATAGAACCCACAGATTTATCATGCACCCCACAGATGCATCATGTACCCACGGGGGAGCCACATACCCCACAGACACACCATGCATCCTACAAACATGTCACGCACTCCATGTGCGCGTACCCCACATCCCCAATATGGGGTACATCGTGTACCCCACGAGGGAATGACATACCCCACAGATACACCATGCGCCCCATGGACATGCCGTGCGTCCCCCGGATGTGCCACGTGCCCCACAAATACATCGTGTACCCCACAGGGAAACCCCGTACCCCACAGATGCACCACGTACCCCCCAGGGGAACAGCACACCCTGTCAATAAACTGTGCCCCCCACAGTTGTGCCACACACCCCACAGATTTGCCATGCATCCCCCAGACGTGCCACATGCCTCATGGATACATCATGCACCCCACAGGGGAACCACGTGCCCCACGGATGCACCACGCACCCCACAGATTTGCCACGCACCCCCCAGATGTGCCACATACCCCAGGCACCACGGACACCCCCAGCCT